ATGCCAGTTCGTCGTTTTTCACATTCCAATTAGTTGCAATTTCAAAACACAAGAAGCGTGTTTCATATTGGTGGCCGTCTAATCTAAAACAGGAATAAATAAATTGATCGTGAGTGAAAATATTCAGTTTACTATTTATTTATGCTGTTTGATGTTACAAAATTAATCATATACCTTCGACGTACGATGATAAATTCAGTTTAAGATAAAGAAAACAAATCATTTACAGTTCTTGAATGTTGTTTAAAAAATAGTACCAGAGAATCATTGATGAACTTGACTTAAGAAAGAAAAATAGATTAATTCACGTTGGTTAATATAATTACAATGATCATACCTGAGAAGTACACTGTAAAAATAATTCGTAGAATAATAAACCCAAAATGGGTTGATGAAAGTGCAACGCATAATAAACCCTTTTTACCGTATTTAAAACTATCCTAATCCCTTTCATAAACCCTTTTTTCCGTATATGAAATTGCCATAAACCCTTTAATAAATCCTTTTTCCGTATGTAAAATTGCCATAAACCCTTTTAGATACGTTTTCTAGTGAGAGAAACATCTAAAGGTTATTTAAAAGAAAAGTATTTTAGATGTTACACAATCATTATTGTGCTATTATTCCAATTCAGTTTGCGTTTCAGACCGTATATATACGTATATATATGTATATACTTTCATAGATCTATAATTAATTAAGTGATGTACTTACTGTTGTCACCTGGTTCGAATATATGGCAGAATCCATGATTGTCTAAGTTGTTATCCATTCGATCAGATTCGCGCTCAAGTTGCATAGTATGAAATGTACTCTTAAATTAAACGATACTCTTCTGAATAGGCGCTTCCTATTTTGATGAAGAAATCGGAATAATATATTTCTGTACCGCTTATTTATTAGAAATTGAATGATATTTTTAAAATATTATTAAAGTAGATCACTTAAATTTTATAGTTCATATTGCAGATATATCGATATATAAAAGTACATTATATATTTAATAAATTATTTAATTGATAGAAATTCCTTGAAATAAATTTTAAATCATTTTTAGAATTTTTTCTGAGTTTTTTTCTTTAGGGACTGAAAAATAACGCTTAGAAATGTCTAAATTTTAAAAGAAAAATATTATGAAAGATTTAGTATTCTGTTTTTTTTAGAACTCCTCAATTTTCGAAAACTTTATATTAATTGATAGTATTCTTCTCAATCGAAATATGTTTGTTTTTGGAAATAACCACAGTAGCAAAATATTTCAAGTGATAGTAAGAGAGCGCTTTGTTGAAAAATTAGAATAATTAACTCTTGATCGTAGAATAATAAACGCTTTTCATGAAAGAGTAGAACAATAAACCCTTAGTTACGCAAGGCAAAGCGTTTTTTGTGAAAAGACACAGGTATGAACCTTTCATTGTAGAATAAAAATCCCTTTCCATAAAAATTATAACCATTAACCCATAACCGTAGAATAAGAAACCATTTTTATGAAGGGTATATTGATGAACCTTTCTTTTTCTCCGCATAAACCCTTTTTTCATTTAAAATACCCTTTTTATCAAATACCCTTTTTATCAAATACCCTTTTTCTCAAAAATCCTTAAAGGGTTTATGCGATTTTCCTAAACCCTTTAAGGGTTTAGGAAAATTTTCCGAAAGTACTCGGGTTTCTTATTCTACGAATTGTTTTTAGTGTATCCTGCTCAACTCAATCTAGGATAGAAAAAGAAATTTGTTAGTGTTCTTCAATTTCATTAAAATGGTTACATACCTAGTGTGGTTTCCGATGAAGACTTTCATCTAGAAAGAGAAATGAAAATTAAGACATAGTAAATTTCATTCTAACACCTCACGAGTGAGAACAAGATGACCCAATTAAATATAAATTTTAGGAAGGAACTTATTACCGTTATTTATTTGATGCTAATAATGTGACTGCGATCTATGATGATGAACTTGATTGATAGGAAAACGAGATTTACTCATTATTTTGAGTTTTCTTACAATATCATATCTGATAATTATGATAATGAACTTGATCTAGAATAGAGAAAGGAAATAATTTCATGTTCTTGAACATTGTGAAAATGATGATGATGAATTTGACTTAAGATAGGAGAGCTAGATTTATTCATGTGGTTCGATTTTGTAACAATAAGCATACCTGCAACGTAAGGTGATGAATTCGATGTAAGATAGGGAAAGAAATTTATCAAAAGATGCTTTAATATTTTCCCAACAATCATACTTCAGTGTTTCGATGATATATTTCATCTAAGATAGGAAATAAAATACATGCATTCTTCTTGAATGTTACGACAAAATCATACCTGAAAGTCATTGTGATCATGTTGTTCTAAGATAAAAACGTAAACCATTGTTTTTGAATATGATTGAAGTAATAGTAGAAAAATATGATGATGATGATGATGATGATGATGAACATGATCTAAGAGAAAAATAAAAATTGATCCGTTGCTTTTGAATAGTATGAAAATAATAATACCTGAAAATATGAAGCCATGAACTCGACTGAGAATATAAAAAAATGAATCAAGTAACGCTGTTTTATTTTATTGTAATAATCATGGATGCGAACTGTGATGGATAGTTCCAAATAAGATATAGAAAAGAAATTCATTCATGTTCTTCGAATTCTTTAGAACAATTCTATTTGATAGTTATCAGGGCGAATTTGATCTACGTCGGAGAAAAGAAATATACAATGTTGATTTTTTGGGAGTTTACCCGATTAATGATACTTGTGTAATTTGATACTGAGTTTATCATATACACTGTAAACTAGAAAATAATTTATATAGTGTAATAAAACATATTCTAGGGAAGTTCATATGAATTCGTTGATGAATCTCTACCTTCTTGAAAATTTGATCTCCTAGTCAGAAAGTTGAAAATGAATTCGTATATGAACTTTTCTAGAAATTCGCATCTAATTTAGCAATTAGAGTATTTTGTAGAAGTTTGAAATTCAATTTTTATTTTCATTTCATAATCAAGGTGAACACAACACATAACTATCAAGTAAAATATTCCATACAACATCATAAATAAGAAAATTATGAGAATTGGAATATAAGTTAAAACATAGCTACTAAAAAATACTCCTTCAGGGAGCAATGAAGAGAAAAAACTTCCAAGAAAAACAATTTAAGTATTTAAAAATATTTTAATCAGAAACAAATACTCAAAATACAATTATCAAGCTTAAACATAAAAATACTACATAACAGCCCAAATACAGTTTGAAAAACATGAAAGGTTACAAATATCGATTTTATATTCAGAAAATTCTATTTCTAATATTCTTGTGAGCCATAAGAAACAAAATCGGCACCATGCGCTTGTTCATATAGAATGAACTAACTCATGCAGTATCTGAAAAAATTTATCTACCAAGTAGCTATAACTGCTGAATGAAATAATGAATATACAATACTGTCGGCTGACTTATACGCACGGCCAAACAATGACTATATAGCTGTCATTGTTTCAAAGATTTTTCAGAAATCAGTAACAGATTTCTGAGTTTTTATAGAATCTAAAATCATTTTCTAGAAAATCCGATTGAACTGCTAAATTTTGTAAAATGAAACATTCTCTGAAAGTTCAAAATTCGACGAATGAATCATAAAATGTTTTAGCTTATTTAACCTTCCACAAAATAGAATTTAAAATAGAATTTACAATGTAGCATGGATTTTTGGCGGCCCAGTGAATTGACTATAAAAAATGGCAGTCTTTTTAGGTTTTTTTACATGAGTATAAACAAGGGATATGAGATTTGTACTGTCAATGTCTGAACGAGAACAGGTCTAGTAAGTATCTGGACTAAATCGCTACGTTTGTTTTTGGAAATTAGTTTTGCTGGTTTTTCAACCGGCTCTAAGAGTGAATATTCCTTATTGAGTCATTTATTAAAGGTGACATTGAAGCATTTTTATTCTTAAAAAAACATGAAAAACGATGCATACAAAAACAAACTGATTATAGTTTTGTACGAAGCGTGCGGAACCTAAAAATGCTTTAAGAAAAGATGTTAAGTTATTTTAAGAAAATTGCAAAACCGCCAGAAAGTTTAGAGAACTGCAAATCGTTTCGTAAAGTTTGTGCAAAACCGCCAATCATCCCTATGAAATTGAAATTGTTCGCGGAAAATATACGAAACCATAAGATCAATAATATGAAGGTGAACAGTTCATTACAAACAATTCTAAACCTTCTAATATTGTGCGAAAAATCTATCATTGCCCACGATAAGAAGGACGGAACCTTCGGCTAGAAATTGGAACCATCAGTTATGTGGTCGATATAATATGAAACTTTGTTTAATTTTGAGAAACTAACAATGGAGTAGCATTTTGAGTGCGAAATCATAGACCACTTTACGGAACTAACAGAAAGTTTCGTTGAAAAATTGCGAAACCCTGACTTTTATTCTGAACTTAGAAAAGTTTTGTATAATTACCACGAAACGATTTTCACTTTACCAAACCTAAAAACATTTAGTAAAAGCGTACTGAATCACTGAAGTTCGGTATTAAAACTATTTTTTTTAGAGTGCATGTTTCAAAGTCTTCGGAGAACTTGTATTTACATAAAAAAATTCACCCACGATGGTTCAGACTTTTGACGGGTAAAAAGGGTGTTGGCGTGAGTCCTTTGTAGACACCGACAGTAATAAGTTTTGCTTTTGATCTTCTTTTACATTTACAAATATATGCATCCAGAATAAGCAAGGAAATAATGAAGCGACTTTTAAGATATATCAGCGAAGTAGCCAAAGTGAATAATCTTAGATGCTTGCTTCTCACACTTTCACCTTCATAAACTCTTCGATTGCATTATGGAAACAGAGTATTCTCTCCTATTTTTCTTTTGTTATTAGAGACCCCACCTAACATGACTTCAAGTGAGTACATTCGTTATTCGCAGCCATGTGAATAATCAATATTTCTGTTTTATCAGCGATCTTACCGACGATGACAACGACAATAACATCAACTTTGGAAAATTGTACAAGTGAGTTGGACACATGATACTCCATTTTCCTATCATATCGATGTAGAATTCAATAAATCAACTATAAACATGACTGTTGAGAGAGGTTTCATCACAGAATTTAGCATACTGCCTAAGTTTTGTCAATCAAGATAGGAGAGTTTTATAAACTAAGGATTTTAGCCATTTAATAAGCACTTTATTATTAAAACGAGGTCTCATCTGTAAAGACAAGATTACCGAGCAATCTTAACTATATTCAACTGTTATTAAGAACTCTCATCATGTGTACTTCTGCATGTGAGTGGGCGAGAGTATTGATCCAACTTTCTTGCAATACATAAAGACGAGAAAAATTTTGCTAGGGTTTCTTCCCAACCGAAAAATGGTGATATTTTCTCATGTAAATTTCGGTAATTGTAGAACTTGGTATTACTAACTATTCCCACGTACTGCAGTTTGATCGAATAAAATTTAATCTTGATTTCAAACTTAACCACATATACTGTATTGGAACTTGTAACGGACACAAAAATGCCTCAATTTAAAAATACTATACCGTGATTTCAGAAAATTTTTAAAAGCGAGATATTTGTTGTCATAGAAAGACAATTTCATACTAAATTATGCGGAAATTAAAGAGAGTCGGACATGTAGAATATGATTCAAGCGGTAAACAACTAAAACAATTCTACTGTAAAAGGCTAATACATTGCCCTTTCCAATGTGCGTGTTCTCAGAACTATAGAGTGGGCCAGGAGCTTTAGCCAGCACTGTACGGTGATATTTCGAACTTTTTCATTACTTATTTGTTTTTGAATGGTTTAAGTTCATGAAACACTGATTATTGATACGTTTTTTCCGTACTCTACATCGATCAAACCAACTGTTTCGGTGAATTATTCGTTCCCTGGACCACTAATTGAAGCCTATGAAGGCGATACACTTGTCATCCGAGTGATTAACCGACTAAATGTGCCTTCAACAATACATTGGCATGGAATGCATCAGTACGGTACACCAGGTATGGATGGTTCAGTTGGCGTTAGTCAGTGCGCCATACCACCGGGTGATGAAATGATATACGAGTTCAAGGCAGAACCAGCGGGAACAAATTGGTACCACGGACATCTTCTTCAACAGCACACAGATGGACTATTTGGCCCATTAATTATACACCCACGGCTTAATCCAAGCAAACAGTACTATGATAGTGATCGTATATTCATGTTATCGGATTGGTATAATAATCTCTCTTCCGAATTAATTCCCTGGTTTTTAAATCCGAATAATCCAGCTGGTATCGAACCTCCACCGGATGCCATAGTTGTCAATGAACAGTTTACACAATCGTTGTTTGTTCCGGTATTGGGTGCAATGCGTATTCGTTTTCGAGTTATAAACGCTGCGCCATTATCAATGTATACTGTTTCGATCGATGGTTTGCCATTGCACATCATTGAATTGGATAATACTGAAACGATACCCTACTCAGTCAATTCATTTTCCATTCATGTTGCTCAACGTGTTTCATTTTATATTGACTTGAGCGAATTAGACCCAAACTATACTGTTTCGGGTTCATCACCAACGAATTCACTTTTCATTCGATTTCAAGCAGTATTATCTATGTATGCTGTTGACATTCTCAATTACATTCCTCCATATGAACAGGCACGCTATCCATATCCAACTTTCTTCACACCATTGTATCTTGGTATTTTGTCACTTGATTCCACTAATTCTACACCAGCATATCCGGCTGGCAACCCAATTCCGACACTACAAAATGCTGTTACTCCATTTGATATGAATATTTTAGCTGCTCGACCACTCGATCGTAATATTGATGGAATTCCGAACGCAACTCATTATTTACCTGTTCTCATCACATTTGCACAGGATGCAAATGGCATCAATCGTGCCTACTTAAATAATGTTACATTTACTTCTGATGCTAACTATATCCCGACGACACACGAGCCAACGGAAGGAATTACTTCAGACACATACGCACCACTCCTTCATCAAATGGCGAGGAAGCCAAATCAATTGGGCATTCCATTACCACGAATAGAACCTGTAAGTCAACTACCAACAATTCAAAGTGATGGCAATAGTCACTATTTGATCCCCTATGAAGCTGTCGTCGATATCTATTTAAATAACACGGATGTAGGTGACCATCCTTTCCATATGCACGGTTTTACCTTCTGGATTATTGCAACGTCGCAATATCCGGAAGCCGAATATTTGTACCATGGCAACTATATTCGACGTGATGTGATAACTGTACCGGCTTCTGGTTGGGCTAAAATCCGATTTATAGCCAATAATCCTGGTGCTTGGTTATTACATTGCCACATAGATTGGCATATGACTGCTGGAATGATATTAGTTCTTATTGTTTCTCCTGAACAACTACTATCAGAAGGCTACACAATTCCACAGGACCAAAAGGATTTGTGTCACGCTCTGCAAGTATTTAATACAAACAACGGAACAGTAAACTGACAATGAAATCAATCGATTCGGAACATTCGTTTTGAGTAATACGATTCTTTTTATATGTATCCTATATTCGAAGTACCGTCTAAATCGATGCTTTCAAAATATATTGCTTGTTGACAAGAATATGCCAGTTTTACAAAAAAGCGGTGGAGTTTTTTCAATACGGGTTTCGTACTGATATTTTTCGTTCAGCAAATACAATGACTTTGATTTTGCATTTTGATGCATGACTTTAAATTTAAAAAAATGACGGGATTGCATTAGTAGGAGGATTGGACCATTTTATTTTTCATAGTTGAGTACCATCAAATAATACACAGAATGAAAGAGAAAAATGTGGTGATCATTTTCATCACAAACTTGATAGTGTGATTGACATTTTATCCAATGTCATCCTACACGGAAAATAAGAGCTTCCAAACAGAAAAATAGTTTCGTGATAGACCTTTTTAAGAATTGAAAATTACAAAGGTTTCGTTAAATACTCTTCAAACTTCGTCTCAAGACATCAGCATTAAAGTAGACATATCTGCCTGAACTTTGATTCTCATCAAATGAAATTATATTATGCATTGAAATAAAATATTTAACCTAATCTTATTTTCTGAAACTATTAAAGTAGTGCGGGAAACTTTTATTATCAAAACCTTACCCAGGACGAACATTACAGTGGCCGTAAACAGCCGTGCACGATACCGCAAACGGCCGTAACCGGCAGAATTACGAACGTATACGGGCCGTAAATAATCAGTTTGGTATACCCCGTATTACGGCCGTAACCCACCGTGACGTAAACGGTGAAACCCACCTACCGTAAACGGTGGAACCCAACTACCGTAAACGTTAAAAACTGCCGTGACACGGTCGTATTTTGAACGAAACGACAGTTTACGACAACGAGAATCGCCGTATCTTAACATATACAGCCGTTTACGACCACCACGACTACCGTACATCAAAGTAAACGGCCGTTTTCCATTCGTTATTCTCGATGATTTCACCTGCAACTCAAACAGATTTCATTCGGATTTCAAAAAGATTTCGTTTAGATTTCAAAGAGATTTAATTTGGATTTCAAAAAGATTTCATTTGGATTTCAAAAAGATTTTACTTGGATTTGAAATGGATTTCATTCAGATTTCAAAAAGATTTCATTTGGATTTCAAAAAGATTTCATTTGGATTTCAAAAAGATTTCATTTGGATTTCAAATGGATTTCATTCAGATTTCAAAAAGATTTTATTCAGATTTCAAAAAGATTTTATTCAGTTTTCAAAAAGATTTCGTTTAGATGTGAAAAGGATTTCGTTTAGATTTCAAAATGATCCCAAGACGATTCCACTTGGATTTGAGAAAGATTACATTTCTGGGTCAAAAACACATTACCTTTCGACTTAAAAATCAAGCGGTTTCTGAGAGAGTGGGAATTCGCTGGAACATAAATAGGGATTTAAGGAAAACCGGAAAACAAACTGATTCGTGGATATGTTACTTGACTTGAATCGGGAAAGTGGGCAAACGAAGATTCGACGACAAGAACACGAAGATAAATCTGATTTCGCATTTTAAATCTATCCTTGAACTCAATAACTAAAGGGAAGAAAAATCTGGCTATGCGTAGAAGTTCTCCAGTGAAACAAAAAGGTGAATGATTGCGCGACACGAAATCAAAGAAAAATCAGATTTCAGATTTGGCATTTTAAATCTATCCCTGAACTCAATAACTAAAAACGAGAATAAATCTTGAGGGCGTGGTTGTGGGTGTGGGAGTCCGAATGTTGATTAACGGAAAATAGCGGTTTTACCCAGATCAACCCACGTCCACGCTCTCAAGATTTTCAATGGCGCCAAAAAGTTATCAAAATTCAGTAGAAATCATTAGAATTCAGTAGAAATAATTAGAAATGATCAAAAATCATCCGGATTTTGTGGTAATCGATAGAAAGTTTAAGAAATCAAAGAAATCATGTGAAATCGGGCTAATTTACTTGAAACCTTTCAGGTCGTTTGAAATGATTTCGAATGATTTTTAGCTATTTGAAATAATCCCTTTTGTTTTCTGATGATTTCCAATGATATCCATGATTTCTACTGATTTCGATGATTTCGTTGGATTTCATGCGATTTCGATTGATTTAGCCTATTGAAATCAGTTTGTTTCCCCTTGTTATCGCATATTCTGAATGTCGTTTACAGTCACCGTATTTTCACGGTAGTTGTAAAAGTCGAACGTTTACGTTCACTGTTTACGATTAACGTAATACCTCGTAAAACTTTGTATATGGCCGTCGTCTACAGTCGCCGTATTTCCACGGTAGTCGTAAAAGGCGAGCGTTTACGGTCATTGTTTACGATTAACGTAATACGCCGTAAAACGTCGTATATGACTGCCGTAAACGGCCACTGTAAACGAATGCCGTTTTTCAACGTAAATGATTGGTGTACGGCCGTTTACGGCCGGGCAGGAACGACCTGGGTAATCCAATAAAATTTCCAAAAACCTTCTAACTTTCTTTTTCTTTCAGATATATGTCTACACATAATTCCAAAATAAATTTAACATTCAAACATGGGAAAACAACTCTATAGATCATCGTAGCTGTTCACACTACAGTTATTTGAATTTATCAACATTTATATATGAGTTATTTTTAATTCTATATATTTGTCAGATATAAAATATTGTTGTGATTTTTGTCAAAAAATTTATTTAGAATAAATTGCCATCTGATGATCCCTTTGGTTAGGATGAAATCTATAGATCATGGTAGCTGGTCACACCCACACCCGCACCCATCTTGTTAATGCAACTGGAGGACACATGTTGAGAACACTGCCTAGAAAAGCAGTGGTTGCAATTGTTGATGAATGTCTGGAGAACTACCAAATTCAAAGTTCCAAAGCCAGAAGTTGACCAAAGATTTTTATTGAGGAATCAGGAGAAAAAAATAAAGATATTTATCGAAATCATGAAACGATTTACCTGTCTTTTTCGAAGAAAACTGAAACTTCCGTTCACGTAGGTGATTGATTTTTTCTGCTGCTAAGTTATTGACGGGCACATTTTTGTAAAAATGTTGCATGTAAGAAAAAAACTAAGATAATATGAGCAATTTTAATGAACAAATGGATAATGTTATAGAGAACTCTAACAATTACTACATAATCATCATGTATGAAATTTTCTTCGTTCTTGTAATAAGTAACTTGTTTACAAGGGAGAAATTCGTTTCATATATATACATATCTAGGTCATTTTTTTCTGTTTTGTATTGATGGACGAGTGTAGTATACATACATATATAAGTGCGGTAGTTGTGGTTCGGGGTCGAAAAGAAGAATAAGAAAATTTTCTTGAATTTAATAAGAAAGCTACAGAGGGAGGAATCGTCTCTTTGACACATACAAACTCATTTTATTTCATATGACCTTCCCTTCAGCCGAGGGAATTACTTATTTATTTTCTTTCCTTCTACTCAGGGAACCAAAACGAAACGAAATGAAAAGACTTGAAAGAGCTCTTGAATATACTCAAAAAAAAAATAAAAATCTTCGTGCATAATGAACAGCATACATTTGAAAGACTCGAAAAAATCTGATGAATAAGAAAAGTAATGTACAGTTATTTTAATGAGCTTCCTGTTTCGTAGACGTTGTTACATGACCTCTGTTTCAATCTCTTTATGAAAATGATTGCATAATCAGGGTGAAGATTGATGATATAATGCCAATAAACATAAAGGTATATCAAGCAATGAATTTCAGCAGATATTCATTTTAACAAAGCATATTAGTTGGAAGTAAGTAACAGTAATATATAATCAAGTTTTTCTGCATCCCTTTTGATACTATGCATTCTACTTGTCTATCGTATTCTGAAAAATCTCGATGAACTCACGATTTTATGCTCGGTTCGTAATGTGTGTACAAGACTAAATGCGATGATTGGCACTTTTGATCACAATGAAGTGAACTATAGCATTTCCCTGGAGTCAGATTTTCTATCACCTTTAAAAATGTTACTCAGTTGAACCATTCGAAATTTTACTCGCTACCGATTAGACGTACGTCTCGTTATCCTCTTAACGATTGTCTGCACTGAAAGGTCAAGCAAGGGCAAATTAAAGTTCAAAAAGAAAAAGAAAAAGTAAATATATCTATTTATATTTATTTTATTTAATAAATTATTGCATCCAAAAATATTGTTGTATTTGACAACAACGTCCAATGCCGCCTAAACGAGGCGGAGGTAATCGAGGACGAAGAAAAGGTGTTCATTTACAGGATAATTTAAACTCACGGATAGGTACACCGACCATCATTACACCACAAGGACCAGTAGATGAAGTTGAACAACGTAAAAAGACAAATATGCAATCTGAATTTAGAATTGCACCATTGATTGTCGAAGTACAGTCTCTCACAAAAGTCAAAATAAGTCAACTCATCAAAACACACCTGCCAGATGTTATAGTTTTAAATATTCAAGTTAATCGACCAAATACATACACTCTTTATTCAAATGACGTTAAATCATTCAATCAACTTTTGAACGAATTATCATCGATTATTCAAATCAACGAAAAACAATGTTCTTCTGTTTTTATTCCTCGATCTATTCAAAGAATAATGGAAAATAACAAAGAAGCATTTATCAAGAGGGTTGATATAGAAATAATGGATGATGATATCAAGCGAACATTAGATGAACAAGGTTTTAAATATGAAAAAATTACGCGATTGTTGAACAAAGATAAATTACCAACGAAAACAATCAAAATCACCTTCATTGATTCAACAAATAGAGATTTATTTGTCAAACTTGGAATGCAAATTGATTCCATGCATTTTATTGCTGAACCAGCAAATCATAATAATAA